AAAACTGCTTGTAGTCATTTCCGATTCTGGCCACAGTCGGATGGTACTGGTCACTGGGAATGGATGACTATTCTGTTGATGGATCGGAAGCCCAGCAGCTTGTCCGTCTCCCCCAGTTTCACCGCCCGCTCTTTGCACTAAAGAATCATCATCCTGGGTTATAGCGACTGCCCAGGGGAGTCCAGAGTGCTGTCCAGCAGGGAGCGGGGCAGGCTGGACAGCCGTGACCTCAGAAGCCTGTGTCAAAGCTGAGCTCCCAGCCCCACCCCCTGTTCCTCTTTCAGGGTTGCCTTAATTCCCTGCCCCTCTCCCCCCACCAGCCACTTCAGCCAAGTTTACTGAGCACATCCTCGAGTGCCAGTCCCTGCGCTGGATGCTCATGTGTCTGGTGAAAATTGACCTTGGTGGGGGGATAAGGAGAGACAGCAGACAATCACACAAGGAAGTGACTCAACAGATCGGGATTATTACTGGGAGGAAATGGACAGAGATTGTCCCCGGGTTTCTGGGTCGCACAAACAGTTAGGGGCTTGGTTACCATGAGCTGAAAGGTTGGCGATTCAAATGGCAGCCCACTCCAGCAACACGGGCCATGGAAACCCTGTGGAGCAAGCACATCTCCACTCTGACACACCAAGCAACTTCTTTCTTTGCAAATAGTGGATGCCTAATCTGGACAAATCAGGGAATGCCACTCTGAGGAGGTGACCATGAAGCTAAAGCCTGAAGGGTGAGAAGGAGCCGGCTTGCAGACAGGGAGAAGAGCATCCCAGGCCCAGAGGGACTAACAACAGAAACGTGGCTGAAGGCAGACATCGGTTGGTAAAAAAAGAAATTTTTTTAATAAAGAGCATCCCAGGAAGAGAACAGCATGCCTGAGACCTGGAATTGGGTGTGGCTGTCTGTGGACAAGGCAGGGAGGCAGGCAGGGGCCAAAGGCTGTATAGCAATGGTTCTCAATCTTCCCTATGCCTTTAATACAGTTCCTCATGTTGTGGTGACCCCCACAACCATGAAATTATTTTCATTGCTACTTCATAACTGTCATTTTGCTACTGTTATGAATCAGGCGATCCCTGTGAAAGGGTTGTTCGACCCCCAAAGGGGTCGAGACCCACAGGTTGAGAACCGCTGCTGTACAGGAAGGCGCATGGATTGTACCCCGAGTGTGCTGGAACTCTGGGAAAAGTGTCAACTGATTTATCTGACTTCCATCCCAGCTCAGCCTATGCTTGTGTGGAACTGGGACATTCCTGACAATCTCTGGGGCCCATTCCTTATCTGTCTGACTGGCCTCTAGTTGGCAGGCTGAAGACAGACTGTGAGGCCTGGTTGCCAGTGATGGGGCGGGGGTGGGGTGGGGTGGGGGGAGAGCATGCACGAACTGTCCCTGCTGTCCCAGACAACAGAACCACCATATAGCCTTCCTGCAGAGAAGGAGTGAGAGGGTGGTACAATTTTCCCAAACACCTATAATGAGTGTGTTGTGCACAAGATGGTACACGGAAACGGAGAGCCTGTGTTTCATTGCTCAGATGGCTCTCCATCCTGACCAGAGCCGGGACGGGAGTGGCTTGGCTTCTCTCCCAGGAAGTCCTGCAACTCCATCCCAGTCCTGCCCCAATACAGGGCACTGGTTAGAGACCGTGTCCTGAGCAGACAGGCAGAGCTACTGGTTTCAAACAATCCGTGGTTCCGTGTCCGTGTCCGCCACGGAAGGCATCCACTTCAGCTGCTCACAGTCCCTTCCTGGAGGCTCTGGGGCACCCAGATATCCTTTGAGCCTCCCCTCTCGCCTCGGAGTAGAGAGAAGGCTCTTGCCCTTGAGTATACTGTCATAGCTCTGCCCCCCAATCTACCCCACCTGACTTGGGAAAATAGCTTACAAAAGCCTTTCAAGATGGAGACTAAGCTAGCTCCTGAAACTCTGATGCCCAGAGAGTGCAGGTGGGAGCCACACAGCCTGGCTGCTTCCCTGGGGCTCATTAGTCCTCTGATTCTCCCTGCCTCAGCCTTTCCTCTGAATGCCAGGAGGCCCTCTCCGCCCATCCCTGTCCATGGGGAATGTCTCCATCCATCTCCAAAGATGTCCGAAGAGCAGGAAGCAGCAAGTGAATGGGGGAGCAAGAAAAGCGAGCTTCCTTCCCTGCAGCCAGGTCTGCCCGTGCACACAGAACTGCAGGAGCCTCAGGGCCAGTGCCCCAGACACCTCCTCTTGTGTAATTAGATGCAGTAACTTAACTCGTAGAGCATAAATACAGTTTCGGAGGTGGGGGGACTCCAATAACCCTGAAATTGTCCAACAAGGACAGCACCTGCGTTCTCCAGGAAGCACCTGTACTTGCCACCAGGTTTTGCCCAGGGATCCTTTTGTGGCCCAAATAAAGGTACAACCGACCGCACTGCAAAAGGCCCTTCACTGGCACTTCCGATGGTAAAATCAAGACCCTGGAAAGAGTGCTAATTTAAAGAGGTCAAACGTAGAGGACCAGCAGCACAGTCACTGCGGTCAGACTGCCTCGGGGCATTTCTAGCCCATCGCTTACTGGTTTCTTGGCTTTGGGCAAGTTATTTAATGTCTCCAAGCTCAGGTTGGTGCTAATGGTACCTCCTCAAGCCAATCTCACTGCTGTGAAGTCCATTTTTATAGTGACCCTATAGGACAGGGTAGAACTGACCCCGTGGGTTTCTGAGACTGTAAATCTTTACTGGGGTAGAAAGCCCCATCTTTCCTTGGGAGAGGGCTGGTGGTCTTGAACTGCTAAAATCAGACTTAGCAGCCCAAGTGCTCCACAAACTGGCTTGTTGCTGCTGGTTGCCAGGGGGTCACTTCTGTCTCATAGAGAGCCATTCACGCCCACAGAACCACGGCTCCTGAGACTCTCCTGGCCATGGTCTTTTTTTTTTTTTTAAACATTTTATTAGGGGTTCATACAACTGTTATCGCAATCCATACACACATCAATTGTGTAAAGCGCCTTTGTACATCGTTTCTCAAAACATTTTCTCTCCATTTAAACCCCTGATATTAGGTCCTCATTTTTCCCCTCCCTCCCTGCTCCCCCCTCCCTCATGAGCCCTTGATAGTTTATAAATTGGTATTTTGTCATATCTTGCCCTGTCCGACGTCTCCCTTCACCCACTTTTTGGTTGTCTGTCCCCCAGGGAGGAGGTCACATATAGTTCCTTGTAATCGGTTCCCTCTTTCCTACCCATTCTCCCTTTACCCTCTCTGTTTTGCCACTCACACCACTGGTCCTGTAGGGCTCATCCGCCCTGGATTCCCTGGATTTTCAGTTCCTATCTGTACCAGTGTACCTCCTCTGGTCTAGCCAGACTTGCAAGGTCGAATTCGAGTCATGGTAGTGGGAGCGGGGCGGAAACATGGCCATGGTCTTTAGAAACAGATCGCCAAGCCTGTCTCTTCCACGGAGCCTCTGCCGGCCAACCTATGCTCCGGTGGTCAGGGACCCCTCCACCAGCACCAGCAGCAACCATGCTTCCGACTCAGAGCGAACCCTGGAGGAATCAGAGCAGAACTGCTCTGTAGGGTTTCTGAAGCTGTAAAGCTTTACAGCTTTACAGCCTCACCTTCCTCCCATGAAGAAGTCTGTGGGTTCAAACCCTGGACCTTTTGGTTCGCAGCCCAGCACTTCACCCACCGGGTCACCAGGGCTCCTTCCAAGAGTTTTAAACAAAACAAGAAAACAGCCAAGCTCATGGCCTTTGAGTCAGTGCCGACTCATTGGGACCCTCGGGGACACGGTAGAGCTGCCTCTGGGGGTTTCTGAGACTGTCACTCTTGACGGAAGCAGAGAGCCCTGTCTTTCTCCCTCGGAGTGGCTGGTGGTTCCAAATTTAGGACCTTGTGGGTCAGTGTCACCAGGGCTCCTGGCTGTGCTTACTGAGCCAAGGTCACAGAAGAGCAGCAGCGCTTGGGCAAAACACCTGCAGGCCAGCGGAAAGTTCTGTGTCCCTGGGACTGCAGAGAAGGGTCACAGCTGGAGCCTGTAGTTACCAGTCAACCCCTCCCCAGCATCTGCCCCTGGGGTGGGCTGGGTGTGGGTGGGGAAATGGAGCAGGAGATGTGGCGGGAGAGAGGTGGGGGAGGTCCGGGCAAATCTCAGGCTCCAGCCAATCTTGGGGGAAGGGGAGGAGGGGCGGACATCAAAGGGTGGGTAGGCCAGCTTCCCGCCCCCAAGGCCAGGTGGCTTTTCTCAGGACAGGCGGACATGATGGAGACAATAGGGTGTCATGTTCACTTTCCGGCCAACAGGAGTCACTACGGAGCCCAGGAGCAGTCTGTTACATGACAAAGGTGGGGGTCTCCATAAAGGAGCCCAGGCCACCCCTCATTACATCTGGGCTTTTGTCTTGCCCCCTCCCCTGCCTTTGAAGAGGTGGATCAGAGGCCTGCCTGGGGGCAGAGGTTCACAGGCCCAGGAGCCAAACAGTAGCCACCTTCCCAACTGCTAGGGCCTGCCCCTCCCCCAGGGTCAAGAGTTCAGGGAGGGCCCTGAGAGGTAAGGTAAGGACCACCACCCCCAGTCTAACCAGAGAAATCGTTCAGAGCCCACAGATGTTATCCTTCCGTAGCTTCACCTGGGAGACACACGGGGAGACAGGTCAGGAAAGGAACAGGGCCTGCCGAGCACACAGCTGATGGTCCCTCCTGGGGCAACTGGGGCCCAGGAACAGAAAAATGTGGGTGCTGCTAAAAGAGCCCCAAGACAAATACGTGGCGTTGGCGTCCCTGTTCTGCTCTTCCACCCGCCCGCCTCAGTTTCCCTCTCTGTAAGCAAGGCTGGGGAAGGAGGAAGCCGAGAAAACAGGCCCCAGGTGGAGCGTGGTCTCGGGGTGGGAGAGGGCGCATTCCCCAGGACAGAAACAGAGCCGCCGGGGCAGAGGTCAGCCAGAGGAGGGCGGGAGCCGCGCCCTAGCACCTGCCGGTGCCCAAGGAGGAACCCTGTGGGGACGCAGGGCGAGGGAGGGGTTCTTACCGCTGCTGCTGCCGCCGCCTCCAGCGGCCACGCTGCGCCGCATCCACTCGTAGGGTGTTCGCCGTTGCGCGCCAGGCGACGTCGGTGCGCCCGGGCCGCCGAGGGTCTGTGCTAGGAGACCCGGGCCGGGCCCCTGGGGCGCGGGCACCTGGCTAAAGTCCGGCGGGGGCCCGAACGCTAACTGGCCTGGGCTGACCGTGGGGACGGTGGGACCCGGACCGTAGGCCGCGGCCCACTCGTCCTTGGGTGTAGGGAAGGGCGAGCTCCAGGCTGGAGAGGGCGCGGGGCCCGGCTCCACGTGTGAGTAGCCAGTGAAGTCGGGGTACTGCGGGGGCGCAGAGGTCGGCGGCGGGGGGCCGTAGGCTTGCGGGCCCAGGCCGAGGCCGGCGGGCCTGGCAGGGCCGGGGTACACGGGGGAATCCTTGTCCAGCACATAGCCCACGTACATGGTGGCCGCGGGGCCTGCCACGCATGCTGGGCGCCGAGCTGCCGCAGCCGGCCGCCCCGACGTACTGCTCACCTGAACTCTCCCGCCCTGCCCTGGTGCCCGCCCCACCCCGGCCTTTTATAGCTCCGGGCGGGCGGGCTGCGGCCCCAGCCCAGGCTGGTTTGCATTTCAAAGCTGGGGGAAGCCTCCGGG